ACCTGTTGCAAGGATCCAGCCCAACTTTTTCCATGAAATTTTATAGAAAGTGCCTAGAAAGACAAACTTCAGAAACACCACTCACTGTTCTGTTTAAAAGCCCTTTGGAACTATAGGTCATTTCAAAATTACATTTAGTTTTTTTCAGCTGACATTCTAATATCTTAAATTCTCTGAGAGGCTCACCACAACCCTATCCCAGGGCAATATCTCCTTTTGAGAGGCTGAGTTTGGGTACAGTTGAACTTCATGCAAGGATTATCTCATGGTTCTTATTACTACACTAACGTACTTCAGACTACTGGTCTGTTTTTAAATTATAATATCTCATTACCGCCTATTATTTACAATCACCATTTCTAGAAAGCTGAAGGCTTTTTTCCTTTTTTTTATTCAATCAGGTAGGAATTTCCATCTTATATTTGGGCTACAAAAACCATGTTATTGCACTATGATACTCCTAATTTTAATTAAGGCAATTCTTCATTCTAATTCCACCTCTCAAAGTATACTTTCATATAAAAGCCAAAGTTATTTTCTGTACATGTTAACTAATGAGCATTGTATTACCGAATAATTAGGCCCTAATGACTTCACTTGATTATCACATATAGCTATTTTTCTAGTTACAGGCAGCAAAAACAGATTTTACATCTTGATCTAGTACTAAGAGGGCAGTCAAAAATGGGGTGAAAGGCAGGTGCAGTGGCGTATACCTGTAATCCCAGTGGCTCGGGAGGCCGAGACAGGAGGACTTCAAGTTCAAAGACAGCCTCAGCAATGGTGAGGCACTAAGCAACTCAGTGAGACCCTGTCTCTAAATAAAATACAAAATAGGCCTGGGGATGTGGCTCAGTGGTCAAGAGCCCCATTCAATCCCCAGTACCAAAAAAAAAAAAAGTGGGGGCAGTGGTGAAATGTTAAGTGTACATCACAACAGAACTGGATCTCTGTGTCCTCCCTTCAGCCTACATTGCTCCTGTGATACGCAACAGACTAACTCATCCTAAAGAAATCTAAGTTAGGGCTGGAGTTGTGGCTCAGTGGTAGAACACTCAACTAGCACGGGTGAGGAACTGGGCTCAACACCACATCAAGATAAATAATTAAAGGTATTATGTCCATCTACAACTAAAAAATATTTTTAAAAAATTTAAAAAAAAAGAAATCTGAGTTATCTTACCACCTAGTACACCACAAAGAAACTCTCAGATTCAAATACCTACAAGTCTCCAAGTTGTATCAACTCATATTCATCTAGTTTGGTATTGCTGCTGCTATATTAGACAGTTTTAATGAGAGACACTGGCAGAATTTCTGGATTCTGAAATTACCTAATGTAATAATATCTCATTTTGACCAATTTTACAATGTATTCAAAGTAATAGAACTTCCCAAGTATTCTGCTTATTACTCGAATTATTTGACCTTGTCAATCATACAGGGTATTTTATTTGTACAAGTTTTTAAATCTAGAAAACATTTCTATATAAATATTGAAAAATAAAAAATAAAGAAATAAAAGGGCTGGGAATGTGGCTCAGTGGTAAAAGCACCCCTGGATTCAATTCCCAGTACTGAAAGAAAGAAAGAAAGAAAGAAAGAAAGAAAGAAAGAAAGAAAGAAAGAAAGAAAGAAAGAAAGAAAACTGTAAACAGTTGCATGGTCTCAAGTTTTAGAAGGTAGCAATGCATGAGTATGAACATCTGCATCTGTCTTAGTCCCCACTAAAACCTAGTCCTAGACCAATAGCAGTTCTAAGAAAAATACGAGTCACATTATGTCATTCTTATGCTCAAAACTTTACAATGGTTTCCCACCCTATTGAAAGTTAAAAATCAGAATTCTTTTAACGACCTACAAGGTCCTGTAGGCCTTGGTCCTCTGTGCCACATTTCACCCACCCACTCTCTCATCTCTCTCCTGCTGCTCCCTGGACTCCTCTGTTTGCTCAGGCCTAACTGGCCTCTTTGCTGCTCCTCCAAACTTCTAACCATGACTCTGCTGCAGTTCCCACCCTCTCTCTCACCCCTTTAGATGTTGGCTCAACTGTAATCTCAGTGAAGCTTTCCTGACTTATGCAATTAAAAGAGCAGTTTCCTACTTTCCCTTTCATTTTTTCCTTTTTTTGCACAGCATTTGTTACCATCTATTATTCCATCTGTTTACTTATTTATTAGTTTTCAGTCTCTCTCTCTCTTGATTACAACGTGGACTAGTATGTAAACTCCACAAGGACAAGAATTTGTGTCTGTTTTCATCACTTTAATACCCCAGAGCCTAGAACAATGCTCTCAGTCCAAGACAGACACTCAAAATACAGAGATTAAATAAGTGTTGATAAACATTATCTATTTGCTTATTTCTTGCCTCCTCCCATTCACATGGAAGCTCCATGACATGGTCAGGGACTAGTGTTTTCCACTTGTATAGCCCCAGAACTTAGAACAGACCTAGAACAGAACCAGCACTCAACACATACGTTGAATGAATCCTCATTATATTTTGGTACAGAACAGAAAGAAAATTTCAACTCAGTCTATACTGCTCCACATCTTGCTTGGATCTAAAATAAAGCACCCCACAGATGATTGAATCATTCACATTTTTAATTCAAAAAATGCATACCTATATTTTATATGCAATCCAAAATGCAATTAAAAACCAAAAATGACAAGGAAAGATAAGAAATATCACTGTTTCCTTGGTGATAAGAAATAGACAGACAAAAAGTTCATGGTACAAAATTGTCAAATTATGCAATAAAAATATATTCACTCTCATTTTTCCCTAACATTTTTCTTCTTCTATTAATCAATTATTAAAGGCTTTTTTTGCAAAGAGTTTTAGTTCCTTTTTTTCCTCTTCCCAATATTGAAGCTAATTCTGAAGACTGAGTTGTATGACATTTACTTTCATGACACTGTCTGATATAAGAAAGGTTTCTTTTGTTTGTTTCCTTTTGCTCAGAACCACAGCATATTGAAAATAAGGAAGGTAAGAAGACTGTGGCTACTAAAACAAATGTGCAGTCCTCAAGATGAGGCTCTTTTCAGTACCAGGCGAACACTCTTTGTTTGCAGCAAAGATGCTATCGACTCAAAATGGTAGGGAGCAAAGCAGAAAGCAATGCTGGTGCTTCCCTTGAGATTAGGACAGAGTCCATTCAGTCAACCAAACTAATCAGAAAACACAAATACCAAAAGGTCCTTCACCTTTGCTGTGATTACCCGAGGCAAAGCCAGAAGGTCAGCAGCTCTATACATTCATTTTCTGACCCTTCTTGAGCTTAGTATATTGGGTCAAAGTGGACTACAGTTTATTTTAAATCTACAGCAACTGATCTATAGCTTTACCTAGTCTCACAGACAAATCCATAGAATGAACTCAACCACTTGTGAAGGCTAAGAATTATAGTATTCCTTTCCAAAATGCCCAGTTATTTTTAAAATGTAAAGAGGTCAGTACATTTATTCAAAAAAGGTTAAGAGCTAAATGATTCTGAAACTAGACTCTGAGAGGTTGTAAATCATGTACCAATAATATTCTTGGAAGGATAATTTATGTATCTGCTTACAAAATCATAAGATAAGGTCTAAAGAACAGGAAATAAAGCATGTGAGAATACCCTAAACATAGCCATTCTGGGTAGGTTCAGGTCGGGGAGTCCCCTACCAATCTCTAGCATAGGGCTGTGAATCTAAGACTGATCCCCCAGTGGTGCCTGAAGGGCAGTAGCCAAATGCTAAGAACACCACCAAGCATGATGCTCTGGATGGCTCACTCCAACTCCAAATAAGTAGAAAGCACTGCCCCTTAATGTTTGCTATGCTTAATGGTTTGATATCTGCAAAATATCACATGTTTTTTAATTTAAAAGGGATTTTAGTGCTTAAAAACTGCCTGAAAATCAGTAGCAAAACTTTATATTCAGGGAGACTATAGAGTTCAAATTCTAAATTTGACAAGAAAATAAACACAACCATTTATGACAAAGAATCAATGTTCAGTAAGGGTAGAAATTATTGTTACTCATCAAAATATAGTATAAAAAAAAGGTATTTAAGGAGAGATCTTAAAAACAGACAGCCAAGAGGGGTTGAGGTATAATTCACTAGTAGAGCACTTGCCTAGCACATGTGAGGTCCTAGCTTTAATCCCCAGCACTGAAACACACACACACACACACACACACACACACACAGCCAAGAACAGTACAACTATAAAGTTACAATATACAACCCTTACTTTATCAGTTCATCCCTTGACAAACAAAAAAATGCCCATTATGAACTCACTTTATCACTTAAGTACCTCAGGCAGATAACTAGGAACCAAGAGCTTTTCAAAGACTTATCATTAAAAAAGGGGGTAGGGAACAAAGATGAAAAAGAAACAGTGCCAAACAACAAAATTACAAAATAAAAGTTAATACCAGTTCATCACATCCAAGTGTGATATTCAAAAATTGTTTTTCATAAACATTTCATCCTGTTTAATTTGTATATTAGATTTCCTTTTCTTCACAAAAATACCAAGAATTCACACAACTGCAGATAAATCACAACTAACTTCAAATTATGTGACATACTCAAAGCCAAAATTTCATAAAACAACCAAAAAAATGTTTTCTAATTGCTACAGCAATATACGTAAATGTGTAAAAAATAGGATATGAGCACATTAAATACACTGTGATGGAGCCTCTGATAGTAAGAAGCCCTGGAGTCTGAAAAGAGCTCTCCTCTGGTTCAGATTCTTTGCAGTCTTCCTCAAGTTGAGGCCACCTTCTTATGCCACTTCACACTGCAGAAACCAAGGAGACAAAGAGGCGGAAGGACAAGCCCAGGATGTTCTCCATGGTCTTAATCAGGCAGGCTTTCTAGATACCTGCAGGAAGGTCCTTGTTAAGGACCATTAGCCATTGCCATGGCACCTCTCCAAGCACACACTTGTACTAAAAGTAAGTGCCACAGACACCAGACAAGGAGGAGGCCTACCTGTTTTATTTTATTTCGGGAGTTGGTGATGCGCTCTGTGATGCTCTGGTATGTGCGAATGGCTGTCGTCAATTCTGTGTAGTGTTGCACAATTAGTTCATCCAGGTCACGGTCACATTTCTCATAGGCCTCTTCAAGGCGACCCTTCTCATTTTCTCTGTCTTCAACATCATCACTGGTAGACAAAGTCCTGGTAAAGACAGAATATATCAAGCTGAATACAATTTTTGCAGAAAGAAAAGTCTCTGTCAATATGCTAGCACATGCATTTTATCACCTAGAAAAATGAAGTAATGGAAAATATGACATCTCCTTCATGGTAAATTCCAACAGGCCATCTACTTGGGTTTAGGGCTTATCTATCCAAGGAGCCCTTTCCTTCACTTGGTTCCTTGGCCTTAGAATTTATTTTAATCAGATAGCAGGTGGGCATGAACTCTGTGAGAGGCCAGGCAGCTCTTGATATGTTGAGTCAATCAGACTTCCTAATGATTCCATTTCTCTTATCAGGGACAAGCTTGGTCAATACAGAACTCATAGAAATCATTTTCTTGGAAGAAGGATAACAGAAACCCTAGGTATTGTTATAAAAAGCTGAGATGCTCAAACACCAGCCACCTTACAACCATGGAGGAGAAAGCCAAGAGAAATGCCAAGTTGTCACAATTATGTCACTGGGCCACGGAAGCAGCCAGGCCTGAAGCCACCTTACCTCAAGTCTTCTTAAGGGAAATAACAAACATCCATTGTTTAAGTCACTTTCAGTTTTATATGCAGCTGAAAGGGTACTGATAAAATTACATTGAGGAACCACCTTCTAAAGAGTTCATTCCAATGACCTGAATTTCACAGAGCCCTCAGCAGCCTGGAAATAAGGTTATATTAACTCTAAAATGCTACAACAGCAACAGTCTAAGCTATACAACAAGAGTCCCTGCAGTTACTCTTCTTCAAACAGCATTAACAAGATTGATATGAATCAACAATAACCAGAGAATGCGATAGATACACTTATTAAAAATATTTCAATAACTTAGTTTGATCCATGTGCCACAGATCTTTGTTTCCTCTATTATCTTTCTGGGACAATTTTTTTTAATTTAGTATTATAATCAGTGACAAAAAAAAAAAAAAACACCTTTTCCTCTTATCTGTTGGCTGTGGTAATTTAGAGTTTCATTAAATTCCCTCAGATTTGTCAGCTTCTACATTCAGCCTGGTTTATTTCATTTATCTTTTTTAATTTAGGGAGGGGGATATTTTAGGCTCTCAATGATGGATGCAATCAATTATAAGTCCATCATTAGAACTGCTTTCAGAGATGGTATGTCAGCAAATCAATCACAAATCCACTTCTAGATACTTGCAAGCAAAATACTGTACAACAGTCTTCTCCAAACTGTCATTCAGAGGAAGGATCTTAATTCATGAGCCACACAATATATAAAACTTCCTTTTCAATTTAGAGAATTCAGGAGACCAGCCTTTGACTACAATCCAACCTTCACAATGAAGTCTGTAAATGTGTCAGGCATGCCAAGAGACCAAGTACTGCATGAAACGGGCAGTGAAAGAAATGCAATGAACAAAAAGGCAAAAGCCACAAAAGAGAGTGTGAGATACTCAGGAAATCAACATCCAGGGAACTAAAAGTTGAATGAAGGGCTTTACCTTTATTATACCAAATTCTGTTTCCTCATCTATAAACTGGTGATTCTATACCACACTACATCCAAGGTTACTTTGGGGGTAGAGAATAACACACAAGTTTTGACTACTAAAGTAAATCAAAGTGGAAAATTCCGGGGAAACAGTTTCAGAGACAGAAAGAACTACCAAGATTACTTGTAATATTTGGTTACAGAGTAGCTGAGCATGTCTTCCAGTTGTTTCTATGATACATAACTTTGCTCTTTAAATCTGAAACCTTCTAGGCTATTAATCTAAAGTGAAGCACAATCAGAAAATGCCTTCAATTTATCAACTGTTCCAAAGGTAAGAGTTCTTAGATTTTTAACTCTATCCTTTCCCCTTGGAACAGCAGACAGCCACAGATTTTTAAGGTACACTGCATAAGTCTACCATCTTGACAATGCTTTTCATAATTCTTTCTCTCCACTACTATTTGAAAGAAACATGCCAAACATTTCACATTGTTTACCTTAACCAGTTAGAATTACCATGAAGGAAAATGTCAGGCCCAAAGAGGACACCTTCTCTGGCGTCAGCTGTCACGACAACATATTACTGCATCATTAGGAGTTATTTAGGAAATAGAACAGGGTACTAAAATGAAGATTAGAGAGTAAATTGGGTCCAGAGGGGATTTTTGCTGCTATTTTCATTTTTAGAGAAAATATTTGTATTAGAAATATCCTGTGCCAGGTATGCCCAACATTGGAAATTCAGAGTCTTGATATAAACTAGGAAGAATAACATTTTGTCTTTAGTCAAAAAAAATTATGTTACAGAATCTGAGAGCATGAAAACACAAAAAGTTCTTTTTTAATTAGAGAAAAAGGCAGTAGGATAATAAAAATATTAATAGACTCTAATATTTAAACAGGCTCACTAGCTGCCAGGAAGCAGCTGCGTGGTGCATTTTATAGAATATATGTGGAATCCCTCTTGAGGGGGTCCTGTTATTACCTCCCCACCTCCCCCCTTACAGTGGAAGCAGCTGAAATTTGAAGAGGTTAAATTAATTTACCCTACCTCACACAATGAGTATAAGTACAGAGATTTAAAACCCAGGCTGGTCTGTTTGCAGATTATGTTCCAAACTGCCAGAATCAAACTGCCTGGATAAGAATCCTGGCACTGCCACATTTATTTCCCATATGACCTCAATAATGGCATATCAATTTACTCATCCACAAAATGGAGACAATAAAGATACTTCCTTATAGGGTTATTAGTAAGAATTAAATTAGATGAAACTAAGCCTAGTATATAATTATCACTCAACAAATATTAGTTGTAGTTGTCAACTATTATTTTTATAGTAATACTAGTAGTAGCACAGATTGAGTATCCCTATCAGAAGTTCTTTGGAGTTCAGATTTTGTGATGTATGTATATGAATAACAAGATATCTTGGGAAGGGGATTCAGGTCTAAATATGAAATATGTGTTTCATATATACCTTATACACATAGCCTAAAATTAAGATTATACATTAATAATTTTGTGTATAATACATGGTGTGGAATATTCCATTTGTAGCATCATGTCAATGCTCAAAAAGTTTAGGATTTGGGAGTGCTTCAGATTTCAGATTTTCAAATTAGGCACACTCAACCTCTTAGAAGAAACAGCAAACACAGCAGCATTTTTCCAGAATAAAATAGGAAGTACATCTCTAGAGACAAAGGTTCAAGTCCCACTAACCCAAATACTAGATCACTTAGCACTGGGTATGAGACTTCTCTGACTCCTACTTTTCCCTAATGTCAAGAATTATGAAGAGTCTGAGCCTTTATCCTATTTATAACCTAGCAAGTTTGCCTGCCAAAGTTCTATTGCTACTGTGAGAAGATACAAACTTCCGGAGAAAACTTTAATCAGAGACTAAAGACTTTGTTACTCACAGCATGGTAAGCAACATGAGAATCAGCAAATCTGTATCAGCTCCCCAAGGAGATTAGACAGGCAGGACCACATGGATGCCTGCCCCACAAAGGGAGTTCTTGGAGAAGAATCCTGCAGAAAACTGAATCTTTTATAGTGGGCTGAAGACATGCCTACCCTTTATCTGGAGGGACAGGCTATTTCTGTCTTTCAAGGTTGTTTGTCAAACAAACATCCTTGACAAGATAGTCTAAAACAAAGGGTGCTCAGTGCTTTGCTCAAAAGAACTTCAGAAAAACAACGGATCCAAGGAGAACTGTCCCCCAACAATAATGAAACCTAAGTCACCGAATTCCTTTAAGGATTGAATGACATCAAGGTAAGGATTCATTTCTTGGGTCTGTTTTCTTTTCTGCAAAATGAGACAATTTACAATGTCTCACACAGTAAACACATGGAAAATGAATGAATGATAGACCATAAACTCATGAAGCAGCAAGCTTCCAGAGATAAAGCTCTCACTCATACCAGCAAAACCAGCAAATTTCAGTGTGGGTATCTTACTTTAAACTAGTCACTTAACCTGAACTGACAGGGTAAAACAAATGTCTGCATTCTAGCTCATCCCACAAGCCAGGTCAGGAACCTCTCTTCATCTTCTAAGCCTCTGTGTAATGTGAAGCTCACTAGCTCACAAAGCAACTCAGTGCAATTTTGAGTTCTATTTGTTATAAAGCCTTTTATTAAAATAAAATAAGCATCTTTATCATTCTACCCATTTATCCTAATTATTTTTCAGCAACACAAAATAAGCCTATTCTCTCTTCCATAAAACATCCCCTCCAACATCTCCAACTGTTTCTTCCATACAGTGTCTTCCAAGTAGTCCAAAAACCTTGTTGCTATCCTCTGAAGTTCCCTCAAAATAGCTAACACTCTCATAGACCTTATTGTGGCCAGGCATTAATCTAAGTAGTTTAAACATAATTCATATATTCTGGATAACAACTCTGTCAGGTAGGTACCATTATTATACCTCCTTTAAGAGATGATGGATGAGATTGAGTTGTTTGTTCAAGGCACAGAGCATTTAAGTAGCATAGTCAGACCTTGAACCTGGGCCACTGGCTGCACAGTCCAGCTCATGAGGGCTTTAACGATCCTGTTTTTCAAGATGTGCCCAGAACTGAACACAACTGCAAGAGTTTAGGGTATGAAATGTCCCCCAAAGACCCAGGTCCTGAACTGTGGCATTATTGGAAGGTAGGTGAACCTTTAGGAGCCAGGACCTAATGGAATAAAGTTAGGTCACTGGGGGCATGCTCTAGAAGGAGACATTGGGGCTAGAGCCCCTCCTCTTTCTTTTCACTGACTACCCTGAGTCAAACAAGCTTCCTCTTCAACATGCTACTGCCATAAAGCTTTGTATCACCATAGGCCCAACTCAGCAACATCAGGTAACCAAGGATTGAAGTCTCTAAAACCATGAGCCAACAGAAATCTTTCCTCCTTTTATATCGATTATTTTGTCACCGTGACTGAAAGCTGCCTGACTTAACAACATACTTCCAAACTGAAAGTTTAGACTCTTTATTCCAAACAATAAAGCCTAAAACTACA